ACAACAATAGTACACCAGTATGTTCTCTAGAACTGGACAACAATAGTACACCAGTATGTTCTCTAGAACTGGACAACAATAGTACACCAGTATGTTCTCTAGAACTGGACAACAATAGTACACCAGTATGTTCTCTAGAACTCGACAACAATAGTACACCAGTATGTTCTCTAGAACTGGACAACAATAGTACACCAGTATGTTCTCTAGAACTGGACAACAATAGTACACCAGTATGTTCTCTAGAACTGGACAATAGTACACCAGTATGTTCTCTAGAACTGGACAACAATAGTACACCAGTATGTTCTCTAGAACTGGACAACAATAGTACACCAGTATGTTCTCTAGAACTTGACAACAATAGTACACCAGTATGTTCTCTAGAACTGGACAACAATAACACCAGTATGTTCTCTAGTACACCAGTATGTTCTCTAGAACTGGACAACAATAGTACACCAGTATGTTCTCTAGAACTGGACAACAATAGTACACCAGTATGTTCTCTAGAACTGGACAACAATAGTACACCAGTATGTTCTCTAGAACTGGACAACAATAGTACACCAGTATGTTCTCTAGAACTGGACAACAATAGTACACCAGTATGTTCTCTAGAACTGGACAACAATAGTACACCAGTATGTTCTCTAGAACTGGACAACAATAGTACACCAGTATGTTCTCTAGAACTGGACAACAATAGTACACCAGTATGTTCTCTAGAACTCGACAACAATAGTACACCAGTATGTTCTCTAGAACTGGACAACAATAGTACACCAGTATGTTCTCTAGAACTGGACAACAATAGTACACCAGTATGTTCTATAGAACTAGACAACAATAGTACACCAGTATGTTCTCTAGAACTGGACAACAATAGTACACCAGTATGTTCTCTAGAACTGGACAACAATAGTACACCAGTATGTTCTCTAGAACTGGACAACAATAGTACACCAGTATGTTCTCTAGAACTGGACAACAATAGTACACCAGTGGACTCGACAACAATAGTACACCAGTATGTTCTCTAGAACTGACAACAATAATAGTACACCAGTACACAACAATAGTACACCAGTATGTTCTCTAGAACTGGACAACAATAGTACACCAGTATGTTCTCTAGAACTGGACAACAATAGTACACCAGTATGTTCTCTAGAACTGGACAACAATAGTACACCAGTATGTTCTCTAGAACTGGACAACAATAGTACACCAGTATGTTCTCTAGAACTGGACAACAATATACACCAGTATGTTCTCTAGAACTGGACAGTATAGAACAATGGACAATGTTCAATAGACAACAATAGTACACCAGTATGTTCTCTAGAACTGGACAACAATAGTACACCAGTATGTTCTCTAGAACTGGACAACAATAGTACACCAGTATGTTCTCTAGAACTGGACAACAATAGTACACCAGTATGTTCTCTAGAACTGGACAACAATAGTACACCAGTATGTTCTCTAGAACTGGACAACAATATAGTACACCTACACCAGTATGTTCTCTAGAACTCGACAACAATAGTACACCAGTATGTTCTCTAGAACTGGACAACAATAGTACACAGTATGTTCTCAATAGTACACCAGTATGTTCTCTAGAACTATAGTACACCAGTAACTCGACAACAATAGTACACCAGTACTAGAACTCGACAACAATAGTACACCTGTATGTTCTCTAGAACTCGACAACAATAGTACACCAACACAACAATAGTACACCAGTATGTTCTCTAGAACTCGACAACAATAGTACACCAGTATGTTCTCTCTAAACTCGACAACAATAGTGTTCTCTAGAACTGGACAACAATAGTACACCTGTATGTTCTATAGAACTGGACAACAATAGTACACCTGTATGTTCTCTAGAACTGGACAACAATAGTACACCTGTATGTTCTATAGAACTGGACAACAATAGTACACCAGTATGTTCTATAGAACTGGACAACAATAGTACACCAGTATGTTCTCTAGAACTCGACAACAATACTTTGTTACTGATGGACGCTAAGGCAACTTACGGCGTCGACTCAGACATCTTTACCGAAATCAGAAATCAAATAGACAAACTCTAACTGTTGCTATCTAGCTGTAGAAATAGATCTGTCTAGAAACAAAATGAGAAAATTAAATGAGACATAAACATCTGACTACTAAACAAGTCATTGGTTTACCAGTCACGTTTTGTGCGACGTTTTTGGACGTTTTTCTGCACTTGTCTCAGCGGCTGACGTCAAAAAAATCTTCGAAAAAACGGACCAGAACGATTTAAACTGACACAATCGTTTGCCCATGAAATACCCACAATCTATATTTGTGTTACTTGAGGTAGGCGGCACTGGCACCAGTCTGTGAGGGGCTGATGCGGAACTTGTCCAGGCGAACGTTTTTCTCAAACATCCGTCACCCTGAGTACTTTCTTGTGCCATCAGTTATATCCTAACTCTGGATAACGTCCTGTCAGGTTGAACAAGACGTGTTTGCCATATTGGATTACTATCCGGAATGCGATTGTTTGAGGGGTCGTCAGACCTTCCAGGGGGAAACAACACAAACAGACAGACAGACAAATCAGATCCCCCCCCCCCCCCCCCAATTTATACTAGCTGTACCCGGCCACGCGTTGCTGTGGCATAGTTTGGCTAAATTAAAAGAAAGAAAATAGAAATCTTGCTCAAATCAACATGCCGTGTTCGCCTGGATAAAGTAGTGCGCATTTGAACGGTTTCCAGCCTTGGTTTCCGTTGCTCGATTGTTTCTGATAAACAGGGACTTGAGCAGTGCGTATTCTATTGGTTTCCAGTCTTGCTTCTCGTTGCTCGTCTGACTAAGACGATCTATTTTCACCAGAGCGCGCTCGAACGTTTTCTAGTCTTGCTCTCCGTTGCTGGTGTGATTGAGACTGATTGAGTGCAGTGCGCACTTGAATGGTTTCCAGTCTTTCTCCGTTCATGTTGCGCACCCGTCTGCTCTTTCTGAAGCAATTAAGTGCCATGGTTTCTCTTGCGTGTGGTTTGAGACTGATTGAGGTGTAGATGGGCTGATTGCTTGTCGTTTGGGAGGCATAACTACAAATGTTGACAAAATAGTGAACAGCATGTGAATTTAGTGAGCGTTGATCGTCAATAGCTTGTTCGTTCCCACGCACTGAATGAAATTTGACTTGAAGTATAGCTGGAAAAGAATGAAAATATGAGCATGAGATAACATTCTATTTCGGCTCAAGAGGAAATGCATAGAAACTGCGCAGCAAATATTCTGAAAAGCCGGTAAACGATATAAATAGGTAGGTGTCCAGTGCCCAGCTTTAATGAATGAAAATATGAGCATGAGATAACAATCTATTTTATAACTCATGACATAGATGTCCAGTGCCCAGCTTTAATGAATGAAAATATGAGCATGAGATAACAATCTATTTTATAACTCATGAATAGATGTCCAGTGTAGCAGTAAGATTTGTGGTATATATGTCTTACCACTGAAATAATCGACTTAACTACACTCTACAGACAACCTGCAGTTGGCCTGCGACGGAATTTCATGTAAATGTATATAATTCTTTTGAATAAAGGAAGAAAGCCAACCGAAATTGTGTAGACATGTAAACATGTAGACATGTAAACATGTAACAATCATAATAGTACGCTAGACAGTAAGAGAAAGCCAACAGATAATGTGTATACTATACTGTTATCATTGTGTGATTTAAGGAGTGGTCCACATGTTTAAAGTTTTACGCCCCCCCCCCCCCCCCCCCCTCAATGTACATACTGACTAATGGTAGTAAAGTAAATGCGCTTACCTTTTGAGGTATTTATAGATTCCGTGGGCGAATGTTGACGATGGAGCGTCACTATTGCGCATGCATTGTGAAAGTCGATCGCGCATGCGCATTTACTAACGTGGCTATAATTAAATGTCACTAAAAATGGAAATATTAGTTTCGAAGATTTTTCCAACAATTGTCGCACACTATCTCTAACAATGACAGGTAGAATTTCAAACCATGATGGGTAAACATCTGGTATCAAAACAAGCATATCCTGAAAATTTCAGCTAAATCGGTTCAGTAGTTTCCGAGTCTATAGGTCATAAACAAACACACAAACATTAATATATATATATATATATATATATATATATATAATATATATATATATATATATATATATATATATATATATATATATATATATATATATATATTGTAATAAAGCGATGCTTCCTTGGAATGATTCTGATTCAACTTAGAATGAATCGTGATCTGCTTGAACTGAACCTTGACGTAGACTTGAAATGAACCTTGGTTTACACCGACTTCAACGTCTAGGGTTGACAACACAAACACCGCTCAGCTTCTTGGTACATTCTGTCAGTTTATTCTCGTCCATTTATTCACATGTTCAAACATAATTCACACTTTATCACTCGCGACATATTCGAACATTAAACATTTGCGCAACATAAAGACGACATCTTCAAATACTACAACCGTCTTCTCTGACTTCTCATGATCGACTGACCACGAGTCTAGCTCATGCTTTCCCTCGCTTCCTCGACTAGGCACAAGTATCTCGTGCTGTCCCTTGTTGCACGGACTTTCTGCTTGCCACTATGTAATCGTGAGGACCATGAAAAGCAGGGTCATTACATATATATATATATATATATATATATATATATATATATATATATATATATATATATATATATATATATATATACCGTAAATATAATAAAATGAAAACTAAACGTTTCTATTACAATTAAAAGTAAACTTAAGAGGACATTCTGATTAAAAGTTTGCATGTCAGAATTCAACAACGGACAGTAAAGTGTTACTGGGTTGCAGTTGTTTGAAGTTAGGTGTAACCTTTGGCAGGGACTATAATTCTTGTCCTAGCTGTAGCTCAACTGTTGATGAGTCAGCATTCATTTCACTGATTTCTTGTCTGTTTCAGACGAGGTGTCGCTGCTGTCGCCAGACTGGGACGATGATGCAGACGAAGCAGACAGCTTCACCCAGCGCGACGGCTCCAATACACTCACTCGTGGCTTCCATCCACCTGTCTCGCATGCTCGTGTTGCCTTTGCGGATTTGAACCCCCAGCAAAATTTGGCACACGATTTCTCACCTGCACGCCCCAAACAACGCTTGACCTCCACCTTGGATCAGACCTGTGGTAACGACACCAACAACGATACCGATGAGTTCCTGTTGCTTCAACACAGACCATCAGTTGACCGGAAGTACTATCCTTGCTCAAACCTGGACATCCCTTTCAGATTACCGATTCTGCAGTCTGCACCATATCAGAACTTGGAGGACAACTACAACGCCCTGCCCAACAATTCGGCGAACATCAATATGGAAGGCGGGGGAGTGAGCGTTCCCGAAGCGCCAATACTTTGTGAGGATGTCTCTCTAATGCAGAACATTGAACTGTCCACCCTCAAGTTCATGGACTCACCATCGGTAGAGGACAGTCTGAACGACTGGAACCTACCTCCATCTTCTCAGATAAACTCCTGTTCCACCACAACAACTGGAGTGAATGACTCCTACTCCACCACAACTGGGGGAGTGAATGACTACAGCACACTTGTGTCCAGTGATCGGATACATCTTTCAGCTATGGGATGTTCAGATGACGAAAACGGCAAAGTCCGAAATGTTCAGAGAGACATCGGCGCAACCGTCAACTATACAAACAAGGTTACAGACAGCATGGAAATACCAGGCATCACCCACCACCCAGGGCTCCTACAGCAGACCCCTGTTGCCTGCTGTACCTCTTGTCTGCACATTAACACCTGCGAATCTTATAACGATACCGAGTTCCTGGTCACCGACCACAGCAACAGTCACCACCACCCACACAGCTACTCGTTGCCACATCCACACCGACGCCTTCAGCATGTCAGTTACCAGGAACCAGACACAGAACACCACCCACACAGCTACCCGTTGCCTCATCCTCACCGACGCCTTCAGCATGTCAGTTACCAGGAACCGGACACAGAACACCACCATCAGCATCACCACGTTCCCCACAGCGGAGCGGGTCACACGCCAAGACATTCCATCATCTCCCATACTCACAGCCCTTACCATCAGCAGCCGTGTTGTACCGGAGGTGGGCATCCAACCTTTAACTGTGATCGGCGCCTCCCGGACTACGTGACTATCGACCAGTGCTACAGTGGCGTGGATGACTCTGAATGCCGGACTATCTGTCTGATCGCCAACTTTGATGTCGGCGGCGCTAAGAAAGACGCGGATCAGCGAGAAGATCAGGCACCTGTGACTGTGCGAGGCCTGCAAGGGGAAAGTCTGCCCAAGAAAGATAAAACAGCGCCGAGACGGAGCGTAGTCATACGCCAAGTGGCTGTCAACCCTCCCAAAGTGGAGCAGCCGGTTCATTTGCTCTCAGGTAGGAAGCTTGTTGATGTTTGCATTAGCATCCTGTAGTTATTTAAGATGTACATCCACATCAAGTGGCCGTCACCTATGTCATCGTTCAGTCATCGTGTGTTTATGTCAACCTTATATATGTCATCGTTCAGTCATCGTGTGTTTATGTCAACCTTATATATATCATCGTTCAGTCATTGTGTGTTTATGTCAACCTTATTTATATCATCGTTCAGTCATTGTGTGTTTATGTCAACCTTATATATATCATCGTTCAGTCATTGTGTGTTTATGTCAACCTTATTTATATCATCGTTCAGTCATTGTGTGTTTATGTCAACCTTATATATATCATCGTTCAGTCATTGTGTGTTTATGTCAACCTTATATATATCATCGTTCAGTCATTGTGTGTTTATGTCAACCTTATATATATCGTCGTTCAGTCATTGTGTGTTTATGTCAACCTTATATATATTATCGTTCAGTCATCGTGTGTTTATGTCAACCTTATTTATATCATCGTTCAGTCATTGTGTGTTTATGTCAACCTTATATATATCATCGTTCAGTCATTGTATGTTTATGTCAACCTTATATATATCATCGTTCAGTCATTGTGTGTTTATGTCAACCTAATTTATATCATCGTTCAGTCATTGTGTGTTTGTGTCAACCTTATATATATTATCGTTCAGTCATCGTGTGTTTATGTCAACCTTATTTATATCATCGTTCAGTCATTGTGTGTTTATGTCAACCTTATATATATCATCGTTCAGTCATTGTGTGTTTATGTCAACCTTAATTATGTCATCGTTCAGTCATTGTGTGTTTATATCAACCTTATTCTGTCTTATGCACCAATGTTCATTAATCATGTGTTTATGTCAACCTTATTCAGCCATATGCACCAATGTTCTATAATCATGTGTTTATGTCAACCTTATTCAGCCGTATGCACCAATGCTCTATAATCATGTGTTTATGTCAACCTTATTCAGCCATATGCACAAACGTTCAATAATCATCATCATCGCCAAGGAGCTATAATGTTGAAAGTTTAACTATGAATCGACATCACAGCGCTCGGGACATTCACATAAACGGTATGTACCCATCTTCCGCAGCAAGCGCAGAGTTCCAGTGGTACTAGTAACTGTCTAATATTATAACCATGCTAACTTTCCTATGAGTGTTTAGCATCGATCTGATCCCCTGCTCCCTCGTGGCAATACCATTCTTTTCAGACCATGCTGATCCATCTGTGCCGCTGCACTGTTCACTTGCTTCCAAAGTTCCCTTACAAGATTTTGCTTGTCGTGTATCATTTCACAACCAAGTTATGCAAAACCAGCCAGTCTATCAGCCTGTTCATTTCCGAGTACACCACCATTTCTGGGGAAAATATCTAAAGGACACTAACTACCCGGGACCTCTGAAACGATGCTTGCCACTCTTCACGAAGCATACCGGTGTCTACCGTTCTCAACATGCTCAGTGAGTCGCTTACAATTACAACATGTGTGCACAGCTGAATCTTCAACCAGCGAAAGACTGCAGTGACTGCCTCCACCTCCATTCTCAAACTAGATGTTAGGTGTTAAGCTTTGTTGCACTAAGCGACGACCATTTACTTTTGCTAAGGACCCCCACAAGCGTTGTCTGCTACACTGAAACTACCCTGGTTGTAGTCGGAATAGATATTCAACTAAACGAAAAGGGAGATAATCGTCAAATCGGTTCGGAGGAAAATATTTCTACAATTATCCCGCTTTCCGTAGCCATCTTGAGAAGGGCTGGCAGAAATCCAACATCTTTTCTCTCATAAGGTGACTAACCCTATGTTGTTTAAGTCAGCATAAACTTGTTGAAGCTGTAATAGTGACAACTATTCAATAACAAAACATACAAAATCGAGGGCCATCTCCACACTAAATATTATCTGTAATGGGTTTCCAAAAACAAGTCGTGTCCTTGTAGGAGGCAATTGTTTGTTATTTGAAGCCCCACCCTGGCTTTTGCCGGGGCCCTGAATATAGCCGGGTCATAAATATGACCTAGCCATACATATGACCTAGCGGTTGACAGGGGTTTCTGGGACTTCTCCACGAGTGATCTTTATCAGCCTGGTGGCATTTTGTGTCACCGGGTGTTTATCGCTCCGTGTGATGTCCTGGCGGGTTTAGTAGTCCAACACTCGCTTCTGCGGTCGGTCGATCGATCAGTTTGAAGATTTCCCAGACCTTCCTGAGATTCAACAATTCCAGTCTGGACGGCAAACCAAGAAGGCAGACTCTGAATATCCCCTTCAGCCTTCAAAGAATGAATCATCAAGGCACCCTTAACGACGACCCCGGCCAGTGTAGACGATTTCCCACGGACGCTATCATATCCGCTTCTTTTGGTCTATCCCTGGACTATGTGTGGCCTTTCAAAGCGTTGTCTTCCTCCTGCACGCGTCCCATCAGCCTTTCTTCTCCTCGCATTCCACATACAAACATTGCACTATTTTCTGGGGAGATATGGCATCACAATGTCTGGGGAGACATGGCATCACAGTGGCTGGGGAGACATGGCATCACAGTGGCTGGGGAGACCTGGCATCACAGTGGCTGGGGAGACCTGGCATCACAGTGGCTGGGGAGACCTGGCATCACAGTGGCTGGGGAGACCTGCCATCACAGTGGCTGGGGAGACCTGGCATCACAGTGGCTGGGGAGACCTGGCATCACAGTGGCTGGGGAGACCTGGCATCACAGTGGCTGGGGAGACCTGGCATCACAGTGGCTGGGGAGACCTGCCATCACAGTGGCTGGGGAGACCTGGCATCACAGTGGCTGGGGAGACCTGGCATCACAGTGGCTGGGGAGACCTGGCATCACAGTGGCTGGGGAGACCTGGCATCACAGTGGCTGGGGAGACATCGCATCACAGTGGCTGGGGAGACATGGCATCACAGTGGCTGGGGAGACATAACATCACAGTGGCTGGAGAGACATAACATCACAGTGTCTGGGGAGACGCGGCATCGCGGCTCTCCTGTCAACTGCGGCCGGTAGACAACAGTCGACGGTCGGTTAGTCGGAGTTCCGTCCCTTGGCTGCAGTGCTAGTACGGACTGGACAGGAGGGAACGACACAAGTGACATAATTACTGTGTGTTGGCGATAGACAGCGTGCACTGCCCTGCTCTGATCATATGGGTTGGGTTACAGTTTGGGTTAGGGGTAGGGTTTGGGTTAGGTTTAGGGTTAGAGGTAGGGTTAGGGGTAGGGTTTGGGTTAGGTTTAGGGTTAGAGGTAGGGTTAGGGGTAGGGTTTGGGTTAGGTTTAGGGTTAGGGTTAGAGTTAGAGTTAGGGGTAGGGTTTGGGTTAGGTTTAGGGTTAGGGTCACAGTTAGGGTCACGGCTAGTGTCGCCGCATCTCGTCTTCGCACAAACTCAAAGTAGCAACATAAACCCAAACCCTAACCCTAATCGTATGATTATAGCAGGGCAGTGCACGCTGTCTATCGTCAACACACAGTAATTATGTCACTTGTGTCGTTCCCTCTATTCCACTCCGTAATGCGTCGCAAGAAGCGGTAACTGAACGCGGTCGCTAATTTGAGTCGCAGCGCGGAGTCTGCAAGGCATGTCGACCTCACTGTGTTGGTTGATTCGTGCCGTCTCCAGTCCGTAATTGCACTGCTGCCAGGGGACAGAACTCCGACTAACCAGCCGTCTACTGTTGTCTACCGTCCGTAGTTGACAGGAGAGCCGGCATCACAGTGGCTGGGGAGACATGACATCACTGTGGCTGGGGAGACACGGCATCACAGTGGCTGGGGAGACCTGCCATCACAGTGGCTGGGGAGACCTGGCATCACAGTGGCTGGGGAGACCTGGCATCACAGTGGCTGGGGAGACCTGGCATCACAGTGGCTGAGGAGACCTGGCATCACAGTGGCTGGGGAGACATCGCATCACAGTGGCTGGGGAGACATGGCATCACAGTGGCTGGGGAGACATAACATCACAGTGGCTGGAGAGACATAACATCACAGTGTCTGGGGAGACGCGGCATCGCGGCTCTCCTGTCAACTGCGGCCGGTAGACAACAGTCGACGGCCGGTTAGTCGGAGTTCTGTCCCTTGGCTGCAGTGCTAGTACGGACTGGACAGGAGGGAACGACACAAGTGACATAATTACTGTGTGTTGGCGATAGACAGCGTGCACTGCCCTGCTCTGATCATATGGGTTGGGTTACAGTTTTGGTTAGGGGTAGGGTTTGGGTTAGGTTTAGGGTTAGAGGTAGGGTTAGGGGTAGGGTTTGGGTTAGGTTTAGGGTTAGAGGTAGGGTTAGGGGTAGGGTTTGGGTTAGGTTTAGGGTTAGGGTTAGAGTTAGGGTTAGGGGTAGGGTTTGGGTTAGGTTTAGGGTTAGGGTCACAGTTAGGGTCACGGCTAGTGTCGCCGCATCTCGTCTTCGCACAAACTCAAAGTAGCAACATAAACCCAAACCCTAATCGTATGATTATAGCAGGGCAGTGCACGCTGTCTATCGTCAACACACAGTAATTATGTCACTTGTGTCGTTCCCTCTATTCCACTCCGTAATGCGTCGCAAGAAGCGGTAACTGAACGCGGTCGCTAATTTGAGTCGCAGCGCGGAGTCTGCAAGGCATGTCGACCTCACTGTGTTGGTTGATTCGTGCCGTCTCCAGTCCGTAATTGCACTGCTGCCAGGGGACAGAACTCCGACTAACCAGCCGTCTACTGTTGTCTACCGTCCGTAGTTGACAGGAGAGCCGGCATCACAGTGGCTGGGGAGACATGACATCACAGTGGCTGGGGAGACACGGCGTCGCAGTGGCTGGGAAAACATAGCATTACAGTGGCTGGGAAGACATGGCATCACAGTGTTGGGGAGACACGGCATCACAGTGGCTGGGGAGACACGGCATCACAGTGTTGGGGAGACATGGCATCACAGTGTTGGGGAGACATGGCATCAGAGTGTTGGGGAGACATGGCATCAGA